TCTCCCTGCCAAATTCTGAAAATTGAAACCGGGGCCTCTTGAAGGCAAGAAGGCTTTAACACCCAAACTGAATTCTTAATCTGTAGAGAATTACATCCTGAGTGAAACTTCGTGTACACAATTACAAGTCCAAATCTTTGCTGGTATAAATGATCACAAGTCCACTAACTGATGGTGACCCAGTTCAGACTTGCATGCATCTTCCTTCTGCTCCATTTACACATCGCTCTACCTCAGTTTTGTTAGATCTGTGACTGCCAAGTGACAGAGAGAGAAGTCAAATGATAGAGGGATGGTTCTGTAGAGGCTATTTGAGTGCTGAACATCAGAAGCTTCTCTGACTCTCCCAAAATCAGACTTATTTACTTTGTAGCATCTATCATTATGCAATGCATCCTTTCCAGCCCTTATTTATAGACCTTTAAGGGTCTATAAATTACTATACAGGGCACAGTAATATATTGCCTGCACCAGAAATTACACAGCAAACTGCTGATGGAATTAGAGTGGAATTCTCTGTACTGTGTGTACTATGGAGTGCTGTCTGCTATATAATAAATCACTTAATGCTTCTGTTTAGCAGCACCTGATTGAGCAATAAGGTGCAAAGCAGCACATGATGAGATCATTTTATGTATGGTTTAAAACTTGCTAAAGCTATAAGGCAAAGTGAGTATCTTATATTTAGAGTGACCTGAGTCATTCTAAGTAATGCTGACTGTCCACATTCCAGAGCTTTAGGCACTTTGTAGAGGTTACTGAATCAGGACTTGTATGTGGATATCTTTGTCTGAGTAATTGAACTGAAGTTAATAACATTTGTTTATAAGGTGCAGTTTCTGGGAATTGGGTCAGATCAGGCCTTGTAGGATGTTTTGCATCATAGCATGTTGTTCCACTAAACATGGACTTGTGCTGATACCTTTCAGTGCTGTAATAGCTGCAATTAGTGGCAGCTCTTCTCTCATGTAAACATCTGTCTTTCCCATGCAGATTTTCTGCTTAATTCTCCTGTTGACTCTTCGAAGGATGTCTCATGGGAGAGGTGTTCTGGCACTTCTGAGCAAGGCAGATGTGTCAAAACATGCTGAAAAAGTATCTTTATGTTAACATGGTAGGAAAGTGTCTCTGAATATGATGCAAAGGTCAAAACTTTAGACTTAATGAGCTGAGATGTTTGTAAGCAAACAGAATGTGGTAAAGCCTAGGAGGAGAAAGTGTAGTACAGATGGGATTAAAGCAATTAAAACATTTGTTCATAGGCATAAAACTCTGCTCTTAAGTTTTTAATGGTGCAGTTGCCAGCAGCAGAATGAGGTTGCATAACTGGCCCTGTCCTGCTCAGGTGTGTGCCTTGGATGAGGTACCCAGCACCTGATGTTCCCCTGACCTCAGGGTGTCCTGGCTCACAACCCTCCGTCCCTGTTCTGTTTGGTGAGGGCTCAGCCCTCAGGAGGAGAAGCCAAAATAGCTCTTCAGTGCAGACAGGTTTAGAGTCCTTCTCAAACTCTCAAGAAATGTTTGTGCTAGGGGGTGAAACAGGAAAGTTGTTGTTATGTTGTTTTGGCGTGTGTTGGTTCACTCGTTACACAATTGTACCCTGCTGAAATGCGTGGTTGGATCTCAGTTTCCCTCCTGTGCCATTCCATGTTCCAGCTTCTCTCGGTGGAAGGAGGCTTCAGCAGTGGCCATTGCTCAAGTTTTACATTCTGTCTGCTGCAGGTGTGTTGTAGAAGCCTGAGGCCAGGCTGTGCTTTCATGGAGAAGCTCTGTAGCTCAGCTGATTATCAGAGTGGCTGGGGCCAAAGCTGTTGTGCACAGCATAGTGAGCAAAGGTGTTGGAGGAGCAGGGAGCTGCTCTGAGAGGGCCAGGTGTCATTGTGACCTTGCTTGATCACTGTTTGTGAGTGCCTTTTGTCAGGCAAATTCATTCAAACACTGACGTAACCAAAAGCTGACAAATTACACCTAGTGTTTGCTTAACCTGCAGCTTTTGGGGGACTGCCTCAAACAGAGTTGATTCACTCCTGAAATGAATACTGTTCAGGTCAAGTTGTTTAGCTCCTGGTTTCTGCTGGATAATTTTGACCTGTTTGCAGTGGCCAAGAGGCTTCTTCCAGTGTTCCTTGAATTCCTTGATAATCAAAGCAAGATATGTGCACCACAGTTGGAAGAAGTGGGGAAACTGTGAGGACTATAGGTACTGGTATGAGAGCAAATTCAGGGAGGAAGTGGGTGATTTTCTGTTGCATATGAAACTTCCTGAGGTTACCCTGCCTAGGGCAGTGCAAGGAGGGGGAAAAAGTGCTGAACTGGGTTATAAGGGCTGCTTTGGTTATGAACCTGCATTATGCTGACTTATTTCAGCACCACACATGAGTTCATTCAGGTTCTTACAATGTGCAAAGCCTTTGTAGCCACTGGAAGTGGGTCTTGCTACTACTGTGGAGTAGCAGGACTGTTGTGGGCAAAATATTTAAGAGACACAAAGGTCTCTATAAGTTTGTTGTGATAGCTAGTGTACTGTGACATTTGTTTGTGTTCTCCCTTTCTAGATTCTTGGTCTGTAGTTTAATAAACACAACAAATTTACCTTCCTAGTTGTTTCTGATTGAACTTGGTGAAGCAAAATTACTCTCAAGAAGCAGTACTGCCTTTTGCAAATCTGGTCTTTCTACTGCATTCATTATTTTCCATTCCCATGTCTTGACCCCTTCAACAAAACATTTTCCTTCATTCCTCCATAAAGCCTTCTATCCTGCCTTTCTCCTTAGCAGTTAGAGAACAGATAAAGCTAATATCTTGCTTTAATCTGATCAGGGAGATGATGAAATTTTTATTAGCCATTTACAGACTCTCTAAAATGTATTAGCATTCAGACAGAGGAAAAGAATTGCCCACAGAGTAGCAAGATCAAGGCTAAAGCTTGAAGTAGTTAGTTAAAAATGAATTGAACAATGGACAGTGAAGGATATAAATCTAGGATAGGAATTCTTGGCAGTTAGCAAGCTCCTTGACAATTGCTAGTTTTCTGCTAAGGGGTAAAATGCAATTGGTTAAACCAGATGCATTTTCCAGGGCCAGGCTGTAAAGCTGGGATCCAAGAATGAAGTTTTCCAGTCTAATGCTACATTCTGGAAGGCTGACTTAAATCTTTCTCTTTAAGACTGAACATGACTTTTTTTTCTCATTTTAATTTTTTTTCCAAGGAGCATATTCAGTGCTGTGTTACTGCTGCAGTGAGCTGAATGCAGTGGGAGGAGGCTGCCCTGGTGAATTGCTACCTTATCTCTCATTCTCCAAACCTGCTGCAACCCTAAATTGAGATATCTCAAAGGAAATGGAAATGTCTGTGGCACTACATCTTAAATCTGACCTCTTGTTTTGAAGTTCCTGGTAATAGGAACCCAAAACTGAACAAAACTAAAACCCTGCTACAGACTTTGAGTGACAGTTTGACTAAAAATTGACATTCTTTGGGAGGGACTGCTGGCTCCTGAGAAGGGGCCCACATGGAATCATTGTGATTGGAAGAGCTTCAAGGTCAATGAGTCCAACCTTTGATTGAACACCACCTTGTCAATTAAACCATAGCACTGAGGGCCTTGTCCAGCTGTTTCTTGAACACATCCAGGGACAGTGACTCCACCACTTCCATGGACAGCTGTTCCAATGTTTAATCACACTTTCAGTGAATGTGTCCAGACTGGACCTTCCTTGACACAGTTTAAAGCCATTTCTTCTTGTCCTGCCACTTGTTGCATGGGAGAAGAGACTGACCCCCATCTCCTTTCAGGTGTTGTAGAGTGATTAGGTCCCCCCTGTACCTTGTTTCTGTAAGCTAAACACCCCCAGCTCCCTCAGCCATTTCATCGATTCATTTATTTCTTGAAGTGATGGACCCAGAATTAGGCTCCAATAAACTGACTGCAAGGCCCAGAGCCCCTAAATAGATGTCTTTTTTTATCTGCTTCTTACTCATTAGAGAGATGTTTTATCTGGAACCGAAGCTAAGTTAGAACTCCAAAGGAACAGCAACCATTGAGCTGTTTCTTATGGGTTTGTTCTGTGACCAGATGTAAAAGCATTTCCAGATCCTCTTGTTACAGTCTGGGCTGATGCTGGATCCTGCCACAGCTTCTAAGATCAACTGCTCATGTTTTCAAGGTGGGAGTTATTTGACTGTCACCATCTCCTCGGTAGAGTCACTCATCCTCTTTCTGGTGATGAGATGGGTGCTTCTGGCAGACCAGAGCTCTGGAGAGGATTGTATGAAATGAGAATATCTTCTCTCCTGTTAATTCCACTTCAGGTGGTTGCAACCTCTGCTTCAAGGAAGGTGAAGGCACAGCAACACTGAACTTGGGGAAGGACTTGCAGAATGTAGAATGAAGACTGCTGGTGGGTGATTTGGGGACATTTGATGTAGGCTATAGGGCTGCAGCTGATGTTGCAGCTGAGCTGCTGTTGCATTGCAGCTCAGAATAGCTATAAAAAAAAGCTGTTTGACTTTCAGCCTTGGTAGCCTTAAGCATTATCTTGGACAGTACCAATAACACAAAGGAAGTAGTGGAGCTTAAAAGGACAATTATCTGTAGCAAAAACAAACAAAGCCATCAGGATATCAGACAGCTGCATTCCTTTCACACTAGGCCATAAGTCAGGAAAAAGAAAATGATCATTTTCTTTGGAGCTGTGAAGCTGTTTACCCCTCTCACCCTTCACCATGGCTGCATTTATTTAGTGATGGTATGGGGCTATTTATCAAACACATACACTTCATGGAGATTCCTCTTCTGGGTTAAGTGTAGGTGATCCATCCACCTCAGTCTGAACCCTCCTTGCCTTTCCACCTCTTCCTCTGTGTTTAAGGGACCTTCCTGCCACTCTGCTAAAGCTGAGTTAATTACCTTGGAGCTTCCCTGAAACAAGGTGTTTGTTCTTAAGGAGTTGGAACTACTTCTTTTGGCTACCTCAAAATGCCTGCTCACTCTTTATAGGATGTGGAAAGAAAGACTGCCCTAAGAAGAAGCTGGGAAAAACATTTTGAGGACCTTGGAGGTTGCTGGATGACTCTGTGATATTGGAGAGTTCAACATTTGCATTTCCTTCCTCATTGTAACAGAGGAATTTTCAGTAGTCTCTACAGGAACTGTTTATCTAAAGGCTGTGTTAAGAGTTTGGAAATAAACATGTGTTTTGGCTACGACCTCTTTATTGCTTTTTTTTGGTTTCAATGCAAGACCTTAAGGGAGGTGGGAGGAATTGCAATGATGAGATCAGCAGATAGAGAGCTGGAGATTTGGAGCTCTATCCTGATCCCAGACCCCTGGCCAGATTGTAATTTGCGTAATCCCATATTTACTTCCCCTCTGTGTTTTCAGCTGGTTGGAGCACTCTTTGCTTTCTGGTGACAATCTGCTCTTTATTGCTTTTAAGGTAGAGGAGGAATTTCTGCAAGGGGGAGGCTTGCAAAAGCACTCTAGAAAGAATGTCAGGGCATAGCTGCATACAAATTACTATTGTAAATAAAAAGCTTTTCAACAGATCTGTGCAGTATAAACTTGACAGCTTTGTACATTTGACTGGGCCATTCACTGAACTAGTTTGGAGACCAGACTACTTGTTGCCAATGTCTGATATAAAATTTGTTTCATGACTCTATTTTTATCAGGCCTGGAATTCTGGCTTTATCTGGACCTGTTCAGGGCTTGATTTTTTTTTCCCAGTCTAATTTAGCACAATACAGTTAAAAATAAGTCCAGTATTATTAAGATTTTGCATGCCTTTATTGCTCCCTTGTTTCAATTTTGCTATCAAATTGAATCTGAAGTACTGAGCTTTACAAGGTGGGCTTGAGACTGGAAACAGATGGAGTAAATTCTCTCATTTCTGTCAGTTTGTTTTTTTTAAAGGGGAAGAGGAATTAATTTCATCCTTTCTGCCACTTGAGCCTCAAACAGTGATAATTTGGAACATATGGTAAGTGTAAGGCTCTAGTCCCTTTTACTGAACTATTGTAGCGAAAATTGTATTAAGATAAATAAGGGTGAATCATGCAAAGAATCAAAAAAGTCAGATTTCTTTTTTTTTAGTTATTCTCTAGGGGAATATTAGCTCTTCAAAACCATGGGAATAGATGCAAATATTATTTCTAAGTCTATGTGATCTCAAAGCAGAAGCAGCCCAATTGTTATGCTGTTCAAGGCTTCTCCTGCCATTTCTGGTCAGTAAAATCCACAGTGATAGATTTTCTCAATTAAGAGTAAGTCTATTCCAATAAGTGTAAGCGTAGTTTGCAATAATGATTTCAGTTCAAAGCATCAGAAAAGGAGAGGAAATAAATGTTATTTGACACATCAGTCTACCTTTTTTTTTTTTTCTTTTTAATCTTAGGCTGTTTTTCCCATAAAAGAACAATGTATTTTCTTGTAAAAGCTATGGTTCCTAGATATGAGATCTTAAATTAAGATATGCTTATAATTCAGTTACACAGAACTTAGCATTTATACAGCGAGTGCTGCAAAATTGAAAACACATAAATCTTTTTTATGGGAGATCAATAGTTAAAATTTTAAATATTTTACTCAGTCTTCCTTAAATATTACTGGCTTGACTTATTGGAACATTGATTAGTGAAAAACTATGGAGGAAATGTAAGAAAAAAAATCAAAATTAGCTTTTGGAATCCAGAGGTGCTTTCAAAATTTCAAAACATGTTTATTAATTTTTTTTTTTTGGTGGAGATATTTTTTCCACAAAGAAGAAAAAGAAATAATAGAGGATTTTAACACCAAAGTGCAGTGAAAAGAAGTGTTTCTCTAAAAAGAGTTAAATGAGCATCCAATGGCTTAGTCTTTGAATCATTTAGGGTTTAAGGGTACCATGAGATTATGTTGTTCTCCAAGGACACTGAAATTAGACAGTGACTTTTTAAAGTGGAAGCTGGAATTTACTGATAATCACAAGACAGAGCTGATCACAAGCTCCAAAATGAAATAATGACATTTGCAATGCTGTGAAAGAAGCCCCTTTTTTTTTCCTTATTTGACTGTGTGAGTCAAGTGTGTTATCTGGGCCCAGATGAGATCAAGGACTTTCCGGAATGTAGCAGAGCTTTATATGATTCATAGTCCATGGTAAAGCAATCAGTTTGTTGTAATCTCTGAAAGGGGCAAATGCTAAATAACTGAATGAGTTTTCCTCATGGTGACAGTCCTCTAAACCCAAAAGTCAATATGTGAAACACTCGGGTTTTGCCAGCCTTATGCTCCATGTATCAGTCTTCCCTCAAGGTTTTGTGTGATGTTTGATCTTGACATCATGCCAAAGATGATGCAAAAAACCTTACATTAATGTGCTCATCTATAAATTAAAGATTTACAGTTCATGAAGTTCAAGGAGTGGCTTAAGGATAATAATGTGGCAACCCAAGAAGAGGTTTCAATATTTCTGGTATTGGTTTTCCTGTGAGAAATGGATGCGAACACAAGGAAGCGTTCTCTTGGTGGGAGCTGATAGCACTCCTGGTATCCAGGGGAGTGTCCCTGCAGTCTCCTACTGCCATTCTCCTTCCCAGGAAATGGCACTGCCTGAAAAACCAGCAGTTATGGGAAGAAACTGGACATAAAGAAATTCTGAGCAGGGACAAGTGCATCACTCATCAAGTAGATCATATTCGAGCCTCTCTTGTGCTGTCTGTATTGAAATTGTTCAATGTATGCTGCTTGGTGGGAAGCTGATTCTGTTTCTCTAAGTAGTGCCTCTCAACAGAAAAGGCCACTGTACAAAAGCAACTTTTCTTCTTTGTTTCAGATGGAAGTAAGTGGGAAGCACCATGTACAACTCCACTGTTTTCTTTCTCAATATAATTTCTCATTTTGTTCTGAACATCTCATCCTCTGAGAAAAGTATTTCCAGAGAAATAAGATCTCTTTCCATCCAGAGTTAAGATGTTATTGCTGCAGTGAGTTTTGAAATTTTTCCATTTGGAGGAGGAAATTCTGTCTTTTGACAAAAAATTAAAAAAAAAAAAAGTGATTGGGTTTTAATCGGATCCATAAATTTCCTTAAAAAAAAAAATGGAGCAACTTTTTCCCACAAAATTTTATTTAGAGACCCTGTTTTTGCTGAGAACATTTGGGAGAAGAAAGATGCAGCTTACCTCAGTTATGTGATGAGCAAGTTTGTAGCAAAATTTAAAATTCCTCTGTTGAAAATAAACCAATAAATAAGTAGAAATTAAGCCAACTGATAGAAATAGTTCAGGAAGAAAGCTTTTGACACAGACAAGATTTTTCACAATTCTTAGAGATGCAAAAATGCCCACACTCTTCCTAGCACACAGCTTTGGCCAGATGCCCTGTGGTGTTAAGTGCAAACAGATATAGAAATCCTCTCCTAAGGGACACCAGAGTCAGTTCAGCAGGCACTTGTGCCAGTGTTAATGGCTTGCTAAATATCCTGTCAACAATACTGCTTGTAATTGCTTTGTTTGTAGTTTCTTCATTCCCAGTGTACCAAATTATGAAGAACTTCTCTAAATCTGATTTTTATGTTTAAACTCACTGATATGATTAATTGTTGTGAATATTTCAATTGTTGTGAGTATTTCATGTGTAGGAGCTGTAGTCTGGCAGTGAAAGATGGCCTATGAAGGTGCTGTTGTGGTTTAATCCCAGCTGTCAGTTAAGTACCACAAAGGTCTGGGGGGTGGGTAGAAGGATTGGAAAAAAGGGATAAAACGTGTGGGCAATGATTTTTGTTATTGAGGTCTGATAGACCTTCACAAATAAATGATTATTTAAAAAACTAAAACAGGCAAGCCCCTCTTCTCCATCCCCCCGAATTATTAAGGGTGATTCTCTTGGAAAAGTGATGGAGCCTGACTTTCTCAGTCCCTTCTTAGACTAGTTTCAGTGGCTTTAAATGAAAATTGCAAGGAATATTGAGAAGTGAACATGCAAAAACAGAGGAAGTAGAGAACAAAATACAGTTCAGTATGAATATCAACAAATACCAGTTCAAACAGAACTCTTGGGCTTGATGAGGAAGCACAATTCAGTATGCCAGACTACAAATTATTCAATATTTTGGTTGGTGCCTTTGTTGTTCTGTAGTCAGAAGGGAGATGTAGAGAACTAGCAACAAAGCAAGAACAAATAGAAAATTATTTACATAATAAATATGATAAATTAGCCCAGCTGACAACATTCTAACAAGCTTTGTGACAACCTGAAAAGCTAAAACAAACAGCAGTTGTTGGGTAAACTGCCACTGTTGACAGAAACAGGGAGCCCTAGTGATAATGGAACATCTTTTTCTTGATGCAGACTGGCCCAGTTTCTTTGACTTCACTGATTTTTTGCCTGTTCAGCCTAGTCACTAATGTGATGCAGTGGCTCAGTTTTTTAGTTATTGCTTGGTTTTATGATTTCCAGTTGTTTTCTGGTATTAGAAGTTTTTTGGGTCCTGTTTGTGTGGGTGCACATGTGGATAAATTTGACCTACACAGGAAAGTTACTGACTGAAAGTTCCACACATGGGTTCAGTTTAAAAGATGTTTGCATGCAAGAAATCTCTGGTTTGGTCTCAATCTCTGAAGGTGGCTAGCAGCATGGATCAAAATGATGACCATGAGGTGTTGTGCTTTGGAGATTAATGTAATGGCAAGCTTAATGCTCTGTTCCACTCCCTAGTTAAGTCAGTGACTCCTTGAGGCCTGAAGGAGTCGCTGCCCTGTGTAGATATCCTAACTGAATATTTTAGTCACATTAGAGTTAAAAAAAAAAATATAAAAAATTGTACCTGTTCCAGATTTTGGGGTGTAAAAAAGCTTATGAATCAAATGTGTTTGTGTTCAGTCTCTCATTTTCAATGGACAGCAATTTGAACCAGTTCTTTGTTTATTGGAAAATATTTGTGTGCTTTTGGAGGCCACTGAGTCAGAGAGCCATACGGAGCAATTGAAATTACAAGCAAATATTTTCCTCTTTCATGCAGTTAAGTGCCCAATAAATCCCCATAAATGTGAGCTTTGCTAAATGAGACAGCATCAATAGGCTTTATGAAGGCCAGACTCAATTTACTCCACGGCCACGTTGAGAACATCTGGCTGTGAGGACCAGCCCTAAAGTGAATGTAGAAGTTGCCAGGGCTGACTTTGAGGCCACAGCTGTTTGAGGGCAGCTCAAGATGAAGATGGGCTGG